GGGACTCCTGCGGTTATACTGTTAATGAGCATGCACACGGGAGATAAGGTGCAATTGGCCGCCAAGCACGCTCGGTCTTGCTCCTGAATAAAAGTAATGAAAACTCCACGGTAGAAAAGATTATTGGGGAGGGGGGAAGGGGTTAGGACCGAAGCACTACGAGTGACCAATGCCACGCCTGACAGAAATTTTTCTAGGCATAATGCGGGGTCGTATTGTTTATTTCGCCAGACCTAACTAAAACTGCCTACTGCGGTTACAAATGGGATGGGACGACATAATGAAACAAACAACAAAGTATGTGGGCGACAGAAAGGTGTCAATCATGTGGTTTAAGACAGGGCACGGGCTGTTCGTACAAAGATAAACTATTCACAAGGATTGTCTTTATTCTGGGAAGCAGAAAGTTGTGACAGAGTACTGCGGTTTAGACGGACGCTCTGATCTAAGTTGGTCGAAAGGAGTCAATCAAAAATAACCAAATCCAAAAAAGCTACTAGTTTGACATAATTGTGCATAAACCTGTATCAAATAACGTCTCCTGTTAGCAGGGCGGGGTGTCTAAGAAGACCCGCAAATCTCGTGATTTTGTCCAATACTATCCAACGGCCATGTATTTCACCATCTTCTTGGTCTATGCTTTGTGGGATGGCTGGGGTGAAAAAGGGGTAGAAGCTACCTCTTGTTCATCTACTAAGCAGCCATACAAGGTAGGGTAATATCATATAAAGTTATTTTAGAGCATAGACCGGGTTCCGGGATTCGCTGGGAGAGACAGAATACGAAAGTAATTATAATTGCGCTAGCTCACCCCTCCACAGGGATTGACTGAGCCCAAAATAAAAGCATAAATGGAAGGCTTAAAAGCCACAAATACAGGTGCGAGTATTAGGCAATCTTTTGGCTGGTATTGAAAAACGAAGTCACCTTCAGAAATTTAACAGCTGCAATATTTCCATCCACCTTGAGCAGAACACCAACGGGCTGGGTGCGGCCATCCTCAACAAAGACAACATCATTAAGACACCAGTCCTCCAACTCCTCCGATTCACTGCTATTGTTACCAGCCCTATTCGTCGAGGAGTGTTGGCGCTTGGTTGCCGGTCGAGTGCCACCAAAATCCGTACTGCTGTCCTTTTCTGTTCGGCGACTTGACCCCCGTGGCTGGTTAC